TGCTGGGCGAGAATCTCGGCGGGGAGAGTAGCTAGCGAGCACACGCCGTGCTCAGAGTCCTGCAAGCGCAAAGCAGTCAGTTAGTTATCTGGGTCATCAGACACGGACGGACACATGAAGATCTAGCACACCTACCCGAAGGGTTTTGTCTCGTCCTTGTCATCCGCATCGAAATGGCGGTAGTTGTCACTGAGTGGGGTATCATCTTGTGTAGTCTGATCCATTGATCGGTTCGCAAATCCATGGGTCTCGTCGGAGAACCAGCGGGGTGGCAATGGTGGATCGGCACAGGGGATGGGTAATGGTCGAAGCTGCACTCTGCCATGGTCAATCGTGGTCATCTGCTTTCCTGCGAGGGACAGGTTGCGGCGCCGGAAAATAACTTATATTTATTGCTCTTTTGAACAGTTTGCAAGTTTAATAAGCAAGTTGTGATGTTGGACGCGCATCATCGGCGGGGCGATGGCCTGAGTGATCGTCAAAGATCGGAATTGGAACCGCGAAGGGTGGCGCGGCGGCCGCCTTAGCGGGCTCGGCGGGGCAGTTGAGTCTGTACCGTGATACGAAGACTTGGTAGCACCCCGCGTCAGCTACATTGCATCAAGTGCCGGGCGAGGCACAGTATGTACTTCGTGCATACTTCGGTTGCGTGCCGTGGTAAAGAGGGAATCAACGGTATTCATACATACATACTTTGTACATGCTGTATCACATCGACGATGCGACTCCCTCGGCACCCTTACCACCGATCTGAATCATGGTAATTACCTGTTTACGTACTGACATATTTCTGAATCTTACACAGATACCGGGAGGTACACACAACGCTCAACACCATCTGCAGTTTAGGCAGGTAACCTTAAGCCAAGACGTGTCCAGACGACAGCTCTAGTTGGTAGGAAAACTTAAAGCGGTCCATCGATGCAACACCAGGGCTGAGATGAACTGGGCTGCACTGCATTTGCTTACGCACGCGTCCTCGCATATAATTTATGTTTAGCTCCCGATGCCCGCTGTGGGGCGCGTAATGAAATCCCGAGAGCCTTGTGGGCCTTCCCCACTCGAACAGGAAGCATCATCCTCGGCCCGCACCGAACTGCGCCTTTCTGACATTAGATCTTGGACGACGACGAGGACGACGATGAGGGCGCGGACTTCGGTATTTTTCACATAATCGCAGACTCAACCCAAAATATTTTCCTACCCCAAAAAGTACTTATTGAGAAGCAAGATGAGCTTTTTGGCCACCTGACCAGGTCACGCAAGACGGTGCTGACTTGGCGGAAAACGCTGGCTTTTTTGGGCGCCTGAGTTGGGTATTTGTTGGCGTCGTCAGTGGTGCTGAACAGTTATATACCGAAACCGGGCCCGATACCTACATTAAACCCATCTTCGGCGAGACTATTACCCAAAACACCCATTCGTTCTCTTTCCCATTAGCACCCATTTATTTGCCTCTGGCCTCACTGAGTCACGAATGCCGTTCCCGGGCAAATATCTGAGTAAAATGGCATCTCTATTACCATTGATCGAGGACCTCCTCCCGATGATCTTGCCGGCATCCGTGGCCATCACAAAAGCCACAGATATTCTGCCGCCTGCAACCCAGTCGGGGGAAGACGGAGAAACACCCGAGATTCGCGTCGTCAGCAGGCATGCAGTGATTGACAAGACAGACAAAATGTGCACATCAAGTAAGCAACAACAAATCTCATTTTTGAATATTCTGGCCCGGAAATACAAACCTCTTTTCGCAGTCCTCATCGTAAAACCGAAATCTTCCTCGACAGTGCACCACCATGGCGAGCAAGGTACGTGTCTCAGAACTCCTGCCACATTCGGAGGGCAAGATCCGGCCAATCATCCACCTACCCTTCTTAACCCGGTCCAAGAAACCATACTCTACACAGTGTCGGGGCAGGGCTCGCTCCTTTCGCAGCCGAAAGGGGACGATGAGGAGCCGGAGCGGCATGAGCTCGGGCCGGGGGATTTCGCCTTCATCCCCGCTTGGACCGAGCATCAAGCAGTAAACGACTCGGACTCCGACTTTCATTTGGTGATTATCCGTAGCGGAGGACGCCCCGTCGAGGTCGACCTCACTGGCTGGGGCGGTTCGCAAGTCAAGGATGTTGCCAAACGATGACGAGTCTTTTTACGCCCGAAACTACAATCCCCGAGAAAACATGCCCCTTAGGACACTATATCAAATACACGCGGAGAGCAAGTTTCCACCTCGCTTCGTCGTGAATAAAAACTCGGACATTAAGACCGTACGTCACGGCGATGCAGTGACCGTAATGAATCGACCCCAGGTACTCGATGCGGTGAACTTAGGGCTCAAGTGACCTCTAGCAAATCAAAGCCCATATTAAAATAGAGTTTTATTATCTCCCACGATCGTCTCGCACCAACTCCGCACCAATTCCGCGACCCTATCCGAGCCCGCAGCCATGATCCGCACTCACCGCCACTGCCCGCATCACACAGCAGGGCGGCGGTTGTCACCCAGCTGACTCAGCGGCAGCCAAACTTCGACCCCAAGCCGGTCCGCGCAGCAACGGGAGCCTCGCCCAACCACGTGCCAAAGGGTCAACCCACTTCAAATTTAACTAACTTACATACCATACAGTCCAAGTCCAAATTGAGGAATCTGTCATGTACACGGCTTCCGCGCGTCCCTTAACCGCCAACGGGCGACCCGTCCTGCAACCGCCCGTCACATCCATTCCACCCCATTCCACCCGACCCCCATCACGTCACCACCCAGCCCCATCACCACCCGGCAGCGGCGACAGGGCAGCAGCAGCCGGTACCCGGCACCCGGCAACCGGGCAACCGAGTCAGTAGCCAGGTAACCGGAACCACCCCTTCGCAACCCAAGCCCCAACCCCCACCACAACCACCACCACTGCCACCACCCTTGGCAACCCAATCTCCAGCCCTAAATCACCCTACCTAAATTAGCATCTCCACTAGACAGCTCCAACTCCAGCCCCCCTCCCCCCTCAAATCAAACCCCCGCCTGCCCAGCTTGCGCGGCGCGCACCCCATCCGCCAGCACAGCCAGCAAGTCGGCGGTGCGCTCGACGGCCGCGCGGCTGCCCCCCGACCCGGCACCGGCGCCACTGCCCATGCCACCGCTGCCGACGCCGCCGCCGCGGTGGTAGAAGGCTTGGACCCTGTTCAGGTGGTGCTGCAGGTCGCGCTCGGCGGCGGCCATGGCTTGGCGGAGGGTTTGCGGCTGCTGGGTTTGTTGGTGGGGTTGGTGGGGGGTGGTTTCGCGTTGTTGGTGGTGTTGGATGGTGGCGAGTTGCTGGCTGAGTTTGTTCGAGGCCGGGCGGTTTGGGGCTTTGAGGGAGGGCTTCGAGGTGGCGGGTGGTGGTGGTTGGTGTCTGGTTGGGGTTGGGGCTGGGCGGGTGGTGGGGTCGGGCGATGGGTTTTGAGGTGGGTGACGTCTTGCTGGAGGGTGTTGACGGCGGTGATGAGGGTTTGGAGGGGGGTGAGGAGGGCGTCGAGGTTGGGGGGTGGCGGTGCTAGTGCCGTTGCTGAGTTGGGGGAGGGCGGCTTTGAGGGCTTGTTGTTCGGTGGTGAAGCCTGAGATTTCTTCCTGTACGGAGCTTAGGTTGTCAACGATGTAGTGCATCGATTCCATCATGGTGCTGATGGCGCCGGTCGCTGTCGCCATTTCCTTTTTCAGTTCGACCATGTCCTTGCCGAGTTGGCTAGAGGATGCCGCAGTTGCGGGGGCTGGGCTCGCCGGCGCCGTGCTCAACTTGCTCTTGGCCTCGGCTTCGGCTAACTGTTTTTCTAAGCTCGCGATGCGCGCTTTCAGCGCCGAGTCGTCATGTGTAACGGCCAGGGATGAGGCAGACTGTGTTTTCACTGGGGCGCTGGGAGCGGCCTCTCTCTGACCCGCAACACTAGGCTTGGGGGGAACCGTAATACTACGTTTTGGGGGAAGCGGCTCCCGCGCTGGCGCGGCCGAATTGTTCGACCGCTCGTCTCCTCTTGTCGGGACAGCTGACCGAGGTTGTGTTGGCCGTGGCGGGCTTCTGGTCGGCTGAATCTTGGGTAGCTCATCGAGAGCGCCATGCCTGTCGGGTTCTGGCCGATGTTGGCGACGAGGGTCATGGTCAAGGCGCCTGGACTTAGAGCTAGAAGCGGCTGGCGGAGAGGCCGAGCGTTTGCGCCCGAACTCTGGCGGCCACTGCCTGTCGGTTTCCCTTGGGCTTTCATCCTTGGTCGAAGGAGAAGGCAGTCCGCCGTGACGGGCCGGCATATCAAATCTAGGGTCATATAGGGGGGTGGCAGGCGCCCGTTTACGGGCGCCTTGGCGGCGTTGACGTATTTCTTCTCTTGGGTCCTGGAAGAAAGCATCAGGCAACGCTCGTAGACTTCCGGGGTCAGATAGCACACGGGGGTATGAGCCTTGGCTAATCGAAGAAAGGTCGATCCAGTCATCGGCGGCGCGTGCCGTGTCGGGTACTTCCATGGGATGGTTTGGCACGTTGGGCCCTTCGGGCCTCGGTTAGGATTTCGGCTGTCACCTTCACGATGGTGGCGCTGGTGTTGAAACCCCGACTGATGGCGACCCAGAGGGAGTCCTGACCATAGAACTTCCTACAATGTAGAAGGGCGCGGAACAGCACATAAATGTTGTTCCCATATCGGATCTCCCGTCTCTTATTGGGGTCATCCAGGGAGTCCCACATGGTGTGCGACTCATCTGTGTACCAGCTGGTGTGGAACGCACAGGCCCATGACTGGTTGAATCGCTGCTCCTTTTGTATGTTGAAACAAAAGGCGTGGAGTAGGATGGGATCGACCTTTGGTGGTGCCATTTTAATAACTTTGGCCCGCAGGGAAGTGTCACAGCTCCCGTCAACGGTCGACTTTCGCGTCGCCGTGTCGCGAATACTTTTTCAAAGATGCCGCGAAGATGTCGTTTATTTGGTTATGGAGGTTATGATAGATAGACGCGGTAAATAAGTCGGTCTTGGATTCGTAGTAGCGATGTGCCGAATAAAAGCCAGAACCGACGTGATAAAAACTCGAGGATGATTTTGTCGTGAGGTCACTGGTCGCCTTTGCAAACCACACTCCTTTTTGCTTTCGAGCCAGTGGGGCTTTTTTCAAGCCGGTCGAGCTAATGAGATTGTGAGTGGCTGCAAGGATTGAGGTGTTGTGGCTGGAGACGAGGCTGCCGTCCAATATCACACAGCAGAAGGAAAGGCAGGATTTCAAAAGTAAAATTGGAAAGTGATACAACGCTCGGGGTTTCTCTCGTATTCGGCGCTTCGAAAAGGCATTCGCGTCTTTTAAGGTTCCAGCTGCTGCCATTCAGGTTCAAGTTGTTGAGTGACGAAAGAACCAGCCACTTTAGGTACGGATTACAGCGCGACGGCTGCAGTGTCACGGGCACAGCCCGTTCCATATACGGGTTAGGGTTGTAGTTAGTGAGGGTCAGGGTTGCAGGGCAGGACCCCTGGTAGTGGGATCCTGCCAGTGTGGTCTGTGCGCGGCCCACACAGACAGGGTTTTCCCTGGGCGCGCCGCGCCTCCCACATTCGGTTACTCATGCAACCCAGAGATCCCCTACCACGGTGACTCTAACCGTGATATCCAGTGAGGTATTTAGTATCATCAAAATAGTCAATATCTCATAGCTTGAATACGAATGTGATGCTTCAAAATTATCTCCTTAGGGGAACTACAGGCCCAAGTAGCGTGAATCGTCTTCGAATTATAGCGATGATGGCGTCATTTTACCCACTCTTTCGCTCTTGCCATTGGCATCATCCTCCATACCTAATCACCCATGAGGCTTGACTTCCAGTCAAGAATCTAGATTGTTTGTTAAACTGAATGAAACTACCTCTACTTCTTTGAGTGGAAGGCTATCATCAAACTTCTCTGGCTTCTTCCAGCGTATGGGATACGAATTGTAAGGTAGGTAGGTACCTGCTTTGTCCTTTGGGTGCTTCATGTCATGCCGTGATTCACTGCCCTGCTCTCATGTGAATAACTTCAATGCTATGCCTGGATACTGGCTTACGTTCATTTTGTCAGGGAGGTCGTGTCATTTCATGGTTTCTAGGTACCTATCTTTGTCGTTCTTGCCCAAGGTCCCTCGCACCCACTGTCGTCAGCTCTGATGGGTGAGCCTTTCCTCTTAAGATGACATATGTTAGCAGACGTGGTTTCCCGCATAACTTTCATGTTAATTCGGGCAGTGTTGATGTGCCTCTTATACGCGTACTCCTTTACTTGCGTAATGTTTTCATTTAAAAACCCCAGTGCCGGCGACGATGCAGAAACTTTAGTCGACGAACGATCCAACAATAACCAAAATACCATCACCAACAATCATAACATTCGTCGCAGTATCTAGCAGGAGTAGTGCTAAGTACTTCTCCCTGATCACGACAAATCTAACCAACGTCAATCCCAACAATCCTATCATGTCTGGCGCGACCAACAAGCCCGACGAGGCCATCCTGCCCAGCGAGGCCTCCCTTACCAACGATACCCTCGTGACCGGCGATACCAATCTTGCCGATGAGGCGTGGGTTATTGTTCCCGATGAGGCCACCCCGCAGAGCCCAACCTCTCTTGCCTCCACAACCAGCGCCGACGACCAGGCCATCTCACCCAGCGATTCAATTTCCTCTGGCGTAGTCACCATGATCGCCCAGACCACTTTGTCAGACGAAAACACAACCATGCCCAGTGGCACCACCCAGAGCGATGGAGCTACCCAGGCCAATAAGAAGATCAAGAACACCAAGCCCAACGCGACCACTCCCGCCAACATCACTGTACAACCTAGCAACATCAACACCCAAATGCCCGCCGCCAAGGGCACCTTCCCGCTCTTCCCCTCCCTGCCGCGCGAGATCCGCGCGCAGATCTGGGAGCTGTGCCTGCCGCGCCGCTTCATCCCGCTGAGCACGCTCGTCGTCGGCCGCGACCACCGCAACGCCGCCGCCGAGACGGACCCCACGCAGCCCGGGTGCGACGACCCCGCCGTCCAGACCCTCATCGACTCGGTGATGACGCGCGCGTGCCGCATCGCCCAGGTGTGCCGCGAGTCGCGCGCTGTCGCGCTCTCGCAGCGCGAGTCGACCGCTGAGCTGGGGCTGTTGTGGCTGGGGCGGGAGAACTGGTTTGATCGGAGGACGGATATGTTGTTTGTGGATTGTGATGTGCGGGAGAGGTATAGGGAGATTTGGGAGGAGCTGCGCGCCAAGGTGGTGGTGGGGGATTGGGAGGAACAGGGTTATGGTGCTGGTGGTGCTGGTGGTGTCTGCGTCGCCCTGTGCAAGCACATGGTGATGAGGTGGACGCCCACGGATCCCCCCGCGCCCGTGCTGCCTGTGATGGAGACAGGCGTTACCACACGCCGGGGAATCCGCCAGAAGTCGTGGCCCGTGGTGAGGGAGCGGCTACCACCCATCCCTGGGCAGAAGTCACCGGCGGGGTCGGGGAAATTTGGATTGTTTGACGAGGAGTGCGTCACACTGCTCGATGTGAGCGAGGGCAAGCAAGGGGGGGTTGTAGAGTGGGTGAAGGAGCTGCTGTCGGAGACCTTCTGCATGGAGCTATCACTCTAGTTGTTTATGGAAGGAGACGCTGAAAGACTGGAAGCTCGACCTGGATCGTTGTCTGGGTCTGAGTCGGGAGCTGGGTTTTGAGGGCAGCGACGAGGACTGGCTGAAAGTTAGGGCTGGGCCGTACCCGACGTTGAAGGTGGAAAGGGATGATTTTATGGGGGGTTGGTCGGGTGGTCGGTAGGGTAGTTACAAAGGATCCTGCGCCATTGGGTGCGTGAGTTGAGCCCTATACGGCTGAGACTATGAGTACCTAACAATATATATTATGCAAAAGCGCCCTTGGCGCTCCGTGATAATGAAGGACAAGAAGGCAAGAGAAGAATCCAAGAGATAAACAACAAAAAAACTATAGCTACCCAAACATCCTCCGTCCCAGCCCCATAATCTCGCTCATATAGCAGTTCATATCTGGCTGACCAGCCTTCACACATCCGCAACATCCACCTCTTCATCCAACAGCCCTAGCCCACTATCATACTTTCTCCTCTTGCTCACCCTCTCAGACGGCCTGGCATCATCACCCAACACCCTCGCAACCTTATACTCACCCCGGGGGCGGTACCACCTCCGCTCCCCCTCACCCTCCTGACCATCAAGATCCCCACCTCAGAACGCCTCCGCCCATCCTCAAGAACACTCTGCCAACTCCCGCCCTCATGCGCGAGCAGAGCGAGTCGGTGCGGCCCCATCAGCCACTACACTTATCGCGCAGCGAGATGATTATACGCCGAGTGTTAGAGCAGCGACCATAGAAGCGGGCCGTGGGAGAGAACGGCGATCACGAAGCGGGAGCG